GCCGTCCGCGGCCGGCCCCCTCACCGTGTACACCGTCCGCCTCATCACCAGCTTCGAGCGCGGCGCGGCGCTGTCGGATCCGGCGGCGGGCGTGAATGTCTGCCTGATCGCGGCCGACGGGCGCGCGCTGCTGCACCGCGTCTCGCCGGTCAACGACCCCCAGCAGGCGCTCAGCAGTATGGACGACATCTGCTCGGTGCGCCGCCCACACTTTGATGTGCTCCTACTTTGTATCAATATCCCGCCCGCATGAGCCAGCTTTCGGCCTTGCTGGCGGGCCGGGCCCAGATTTGGATCGCATCGGCAGCGGCGGCGGCTGCGGAACGCTGACTAAGCGCGCCACTGGTTGCTGGCGGCGGCGCCGCCGCCGCCGCCGCCGCCTCGGGCGGCGCAGGGCCGTCTCGTCGGCGGGGCCGCGCAGCCAGGCGCCTTTGTGAGTGTTCCGCCAACTTCCACCCGGTTTGCTGTCCTGGCTCAGCAGTTTTCAAAACCCCAAACACCCCACCAGGTGGTAACCGAGGAGGTGGGCGCCAACTGCGTCATAGCGGCGGCGTCGCCCGTCCCCACCTGGCCCCCGGGCAAGGAGCCGGCCCCGCGGCCGCGATTCATGGAGGGCGCCCGGGACGAGGTGCGGCGGCCGCGGGGGTTCTGTGCTTTTGTGTTTAGTGGCGTGCAGGTTTCAGATACATCCGCAAACATGCAATCAGCGGATGAGATGTCGCAGCTGGGCGTCTTGCGTTTTGGGGCACGGCGGAGGGTCGAGGGTCGAGGGACGGGCCTGGGCTCGGGTGCGCGGCGGCGGTGGCGGTTGCGGCGGGCCTTGAGCTTTGGGCATCCGTCGCGGCGGCAAAGGGGGCGTAGATCAACTGGCAGAGGATACCAGACAAGAAGGCGCCCCCTGCAGCGCCGCGGCGCGGTTGAACGGTCGCCCCCCCCCCTCCCCCTGCCCTCTCCCATCGGGCGCCAGGTGAGCATCCTTGCGCCGGAGCTGGGCCCGTTGGCGGCGGTGATGGTGGCGCCGGAGGGCGGCAGCTGGACACTGGAGGAGGTCAACGTCTCCAGCAGCAGGACCAATCACATAGACAGGCGCGCGCGCGAATGTGTGTGTGTGTGTGAGAGAGAGACTGAGTGTGTGTGTGTGTGTGTGTGTGTATACATTTTGTTATGCGTTCTGGTTGCTCCACGTTGTGGGGGGCCTCGACAGCCGCCAGTATTCGCTCGCCGACCCCGTCCGCGGGCCATCGCTCACGTGCTGCTGCGGGTGCCAGGCGCAATGCTGTGCAGGGTAGGGCGGGCCCGCAGCGGTGCGGCGCTGCGCGCTCGTCTCGCGAACCCGCGCAGGGGCGGGGGCCGCCGTCGCGGAGGACGGGCGCTGACGGCGCCACCGCCGCCGCCGCGTGCACCCCACGACACGCCGCAGGTTTGTGTGCCGGCGGCAGCTGGGCGGGCGCAAGGGGGAGCCGGCCGCGTACCTCACGCCAGTGCCGCCGGACGCGGTCGTCTACGGGTCGGGCGATACGGCACGCATTCTTACCAAGGTGCGCGCGGGACTGGGGCGCCGCCGCAGGTGTTCGCTCGCGCGTGCCGGCCGGCAGCCGGCGGCGGCGGCGCGCTGAGCGCGCCGCCGCGGGTTGCTGGTGGGTGGCGATGAGCGGCCGCGTGTGACCGGGGACGCCCCCGGCCATCTCAGCGGCCTGGCGCAGCAGCGCCAGCTGCATTTCCCAGGGGTCGCTGCCAGCACCCCACGCCCGCCCGCCCTCTTTTTCCCGACCCGCGCCCCCGCGCCCTCTCTGCCGGCGTCCATCCCGCAGGAGCAGGCCGCCGCGCTGCGCAGCGCGGGGCTGTCGGAGTACTCAGATCTGAAGCAGCGCCTGCTGCTGGCGACGGCGCTGCTGACCGCCGGCGGCAGCGGCATCGCCGCGCTGGCGTCGGGGCCGGCGGCGGCGGTGCCGTTTGCGCTGGGCGGGTGCGCGGGGCTCGCATACCAGTATCTGCTGCAGGTGGGCACGTCCGCTGAGGTGCCGGTGGCGGTTGTGGTTGCTGAGCTGGCGCTGGCCGGGGCCAGGTTGTGGCAGGCTGTTTTGTTTCTGGACTGGTGGGCGTGTTGGGCGGCACGGCACGGGCTCGCGGTTTGCTGAGCTGGCGGGCGCCTGGGGAGGGGTGGGGTTTTTCAGGCGAGGCATGGGGGGCGGTTCGGATGTCGGGCGCATCGCAAACTCCATACCCCTCCCCCCTGCCCGCATGTTGGTTGGAGCGGCGCGCCGGGGGGGAGGGGGGGACCCGCCAAGCCCTGAGGGGTCGGGGTTGATGAGGGGCGCCGTGTGCGCTGGGGATTGTCCTCCAGGGGATGGCCCCGTGGTGGGATGGATGGTGCAGGGGGCGGTGGCAGCTTCGGGGCCTCATGCGCGCGTGACCGTGCTGCTGCCAGGGCCCTGCACATGGACACTCACCACACACACACACACACACACACACACACACGCACTCACACTCTCCGCCGCAGATCGGCGCCGACTCAGCGGTGTCCTCCGCCGCGGTGGCCGCCAAGGCAGGCGCCCCCCAGCCCGCCACCGCCGCCTCAACCGCCGCCGCCGCGGCCGGCGGCGCCGGCGCCGGCACCCCCGGCACCGCGCCGGCCGCGGGCAACGGCGCGGCTGACATCAGTTGGCGCGGCGCGCGCCAGGCGCTCGGCAGCGGGGCGTTCAGGGTGGCGCTCGTCGCGCTCGCGGCGCTGTCGGCGGCGTCTGCGCTCGTGCACCAGCACGGCGGCGCGGGGCCGCTCGACGGCGCGGCGCCGCGGGCGGCGGGGGAGTCGGTGGCGCAGCTGGCGCTGGGGGCGCCGGGGGCGGAGGCGTGGCAGCTCGGGTGTGCCGCGCTCGGGTTCCTCATGTATAAGGGTGGGTGCGTGCGTGGGTCGTTTTGGGGGAAGGGGCTCTTGGAGGGGTGTTCTTCAGAGGGGGCTTGCGCTGAGGGGACTTGCGCCGAGTCAGCCGCGGGGTCTTGGAGGTGGCAGCTGCAGCTGGCCGGCCGCCGCGGGGCGTGTGAAGCGCGCCCCTGTGTGCAATGTGGACCAGGTGTGACGCGAAGCGCTCTGAGGGGCGGGCGCTTCCCGCCGCAAGCGCTTTGCGAAACCCGCTCGTCGTCCCCCCCGCCGCCTGCTTTCGCACGCCTCTGCTGACGCCACCGCTCTCTTCTTTTCAACGCCCCCCACCCCCACCCATCCTCCGGCAAACCTGCCTCTAAACACCCTGCGGCGCCGCAGTGGCCATCCTGGGCGTGAGCATGGCGCCCGGCGGCGGCCAGGGCCCCGGCGGGCTGCCTGTCGGCATCATCCAGTTCGAAAAGAACAACCAGCGCAAGGCGTCTTGAGGCCGCACGTCCCCGAGGCCGCCGGCCCGCCTCAGCCGGCTTGCCCGAGGCGGAGCTGGCCCGGCCCCGCGCCCGGCACGGCGGGCGCTCGCGGCGGGCTTGGCGCTGCTTTATTTCGAGGCCTGTTGTGAAGCCAGTGTTGGTTACGTGTTTGTTGCGCAGTGGAGGGCCCAAGGTCGCTGTGTTCCCTGCCAATCATGTCTGTGAGGCAGCAGGGCTGGGCACTGCGAGCCTGCTGCAGCCGTGTGGCCCGCCCGCCCGTCGCGTTTTCAACACCAAACTCTTCCCTGTGGTTTGCCGGAGCCGTTGCAATTTGGAATGGAGGTCGGCCATGTGCGAGAGCACGCCGTCCCTCAACTTAGTGGGTGCTGCTGTTCTTCTTTCCGTGCGTCGTCTCTGCTGGTTCTCGCGGGTGCCGGCCTGGCCGGCCCATTGTTGCTGGCGTGCTGCGTGGCGCCAGGAAGCGTGTACGCAGGGCTGGGGCTGGCTGTAGTGTGGCGAGTCGTGCGCTTGCCGCGCTGATTGCTGCCGCGTTTGCCTTGGCTGCTGCTTTCGCTGGCGGCAGGGGCGCTGGGAGCTGGCTGCCGGCTCAGGAGGGTGGGCGCTGGGTAGCCACCCCGCCGCCAGAGTGGCAGCGGCACACCTCAACGGCTGGCAGGCCAACTATTGCGCAGGATTCTTTGGGGCAGACCGCTGCCGAGGCAGGCAGCGCGCGGCCGTAGAGGCTGCGCCTAGCGCCCCGCTTTGGATCCTGCCGCGCCTGGGGCGCACCCTGCGCGCGCAGGGGCAGGCCGCGGCTGTGCGCGCCCTGAATTTGTTGTTGCTCTTGGCGTCCTTCGCTGCCGCCGTCCGCTTTGTGCCAGTTGTACACCAGCGCGTGCCCACACGCTGCAAAGCCAAGGCTGTCTAGACACTCCAGCTCGTGTGCGCACGTGTGCACACCGCCGGCGCCGCACTGTGTCGAGGGTACGTACGCGCCAGTGTTGTCGGGCGCGCGCCGCACTTATGCACTGCCGCCAGAGGCACTCACAAATCTGTAATCCATGCGCCTGTAGATGGGCCGCTTGGGTCAAGATGCCCCTGGGCTTCTGCTGCGTGTCCAGCCTCGCAACATGTCACGGACTTGGCAGCTTTCCGTCTCTGTGACCAGCCCGACCCAGCTGATCTGCATGCCCACCTCTTAGTGTCAACACTCCCAACCAGCCATCAGTTGCAGTGTGTTTACACGGCTGGGCGCACCACAACCTAGATCCTTGATCAACAGCATGACTCAAGCGCGTGGTCACACCCTTGCAGCGCAGCCAACGACGAGGCGTGCGTGCCAAAGTGAGAGTGCAGGGCGCGTGATGCTGTGTTGCAGTCACAACCTCAGATGCAGGCTCATGACAACTCCTTCTTGCGCAGGCACGCGAACAACAAATTTGGTCTCAGGTCGCAGGGCATGTGGCGCCAGGGTTGCCACACCACCGGGCGGCGACCACATCGCCGCAGCCGCCAGAAGCAAGCGGCGATTGCTGCCTCGCCGTGCAGCCGTTAGGTCTGGTCGGCCGCCCTAGTACTCCTCGCCCTCGTCCTCGCCCTGGCCCTCGGCGCTGTCGGCGCCCACCTCCTCGTAGTCCTTCTCCAGCGCCGCCAGGTCCTCCCTCGCCTCGCTGAACTCGCCCTCCTCCATGCCCTCCCCGACGTACCAGTGCACAAACGCGCGCTTCGCGTACATCAGGTCAAACTTGTGGTCAAGGCGCGAGAAGACCTCGGCGATGGCGGTGGAGTTGGAGATCATGCACACGGCGCGCTGCACCTTGGCCAGGTCGCCGCCGGGGACGACGGTGGGGGGCTGGTAGTTGATGCCGCACTTGAAACCGGTGGGGCACCAGTCCACAAACTGCAGGGGGGCCGGCAGGGAAACAAGAGGGGGCGTCAGACCGGGGCGAGTGGATGATGCCAAAGTGTGTGTCTTGGCAGGCCGTGAAGACTGGCTGACTGCAAAGGAAGGCAGGTTGTCAGCGTATGGCCGCCTGGGGCTACGCAGCAGCCTGTTGTGGGCACGGATACACCACAGCAGCGGCCCACGCCACCCTAGTGGCCACAAGCAGCGGGCCTGTGCCCTTTGCCCCCACCTGGATGGTCCTCTTGGTCTTGATGGTGGCCACCGAGGCGTTGACGTCCTTGGGCACCACATCGCCGCGGTACATCAGGCAGCACGCCATGTACTTGCCTGTGTGTGGGATTGTGCATGTGTGTGCACGCAGGTCAGCTAAGGTGTGCGGGATGCGAAGAGCAGCCAGCATCAGCGCGCAGGAAGTGCTTGTTGCCTGCATCAGACTCCGGTGTCATCAGGAGGCGCATATCAGCCAACACATTTATCCACCCCCTGAAAGCGTCCCCCGACGTAGGGGCACCCACCGTGGCGGGGGTCGCACTTGACCATCATGCTGGAGGGCTCAAACGCGCTGTTGGTGATCTCGGCCACCGACAGCTGCTCGTGGTAGGCCTTCTCGGCGCTGATCACGGGCGCGTAGGAGCTGAGCATGAAGTGGATCCGGGGGTAGGGCACCAGGTTTGTCTGGAACTCGGTGATGTCCACGTTGAGGGCGCCGTCGAAGCGCAGGGAGGTGGTCAGGGACGAGATCACCTGGGCCACCAGCCTGGGGTGGGGTGGGAGAGGGGTGTGTGGAGTGGGGTGGTTTGGTGGGATTGGGGGGCAGGGCAGTATCAATTGGCTACCAGCCGGGCGACAGGTAGGCAGAAACAGCCCACTGTCACCGATGTAATCGCAAGGCTTCTGCCCGCGCAGCTGGCCAAACAGTATGATCTGCACGGCCAACGCAGGGTCCTAGTCAGCCTCCTCCAGCAGGGCGGGCACCTGTTGAGGTTGGTGTAGGTGGGGCGCTCAATGTCGAGGGAGCGGCGGCAGATGTCGTACACGGCCTCGTTGTCCAGCATCACGGCCACGTCAGTGTGCTCCAGCAGGGAGTGGGTGGACAGCACAGAGTTGTAGGGCTCCACCACGGCGGTAGACACCTGGGGGTCAGGGCGGGTGGGCGCCATAACGGTCATGTGTGGTGGTGTCGATAAAAAGCTGCCAGGCAAAATTATGGTTTGTTGATCCAGCTGTCATGCACAGTTTCAGTGGCAAGACAGTTGGGGTGCACACGCACGGGGAGCGCATGCGCAGCTGCAGCCCCTGTCCGGTCCTCACCTGGGGGGAGGGGTAGATGGTGAAGCCCAGCTTGGACTTCTTGCCATAGTCCACTGACAGGCGCTCCAGCAGGAGGGAGCCCAGGCCCGAGCCGGTGCCGCCGCCGACGGCGTTGAAGACGAGGAAGCCCTGCAGGCCGGTGCAGTTGTCGGCCAGCTTGCGGATGCGGTCCAGCGCGAGGTCCACGATCTCCTTGCCGACTGGGGGAGGGCGTCGAGGGGAGAGATAGTAAAGAAAAAGTTTGTGGGGTGTTGCCAGCATCAAGTGTGTGCGTACAGGCACAGCAGAGTGGTGCAGGGCTGATGCATCGAGGGCTGGCACTTCGAGTGTGCGAGGGCCGTGCGCGGGAGCGATGCGTCAAGCACCGGGATCAGCTGCCGGCTCGCACCCCCTCCAAGGCCCTGCTGTAGGTGGAAATCTGGCGCCCCTTTCGAGTGCCCCAGGGAGTGGACTGCTCACTGGTGTAGTGGCCGCGCGCAAAGTTGTTGGCGGCGTCCTCCTTGCCGGAGATCAGCTGCTCGGGGTGGAACAGCTGCCTGTAGGTGCCGGTGCGGACCTCGTCCACCACGGTGGGCTCGAGGTCGAGGAAGATGCAGCGGGGCACGTGCTTGCCGGCACCGGTCTCCGAGAAGAAGGTGTTGAAGGCATCGTCGCCGCCACCGATCGTCTTGTCGCTGGGCATCTGGTGTTGGTGGTGCGAGTCGTAGACGTTGGGATGCGACGTCGGCAGCGCCAGGGGATGCAGCAAGGACCCAGCTGCCCCAGATGCGCAGCTGCGTGTCATCCTTATGCCAACCTCCGACCCCCTATGTACGCTCCCATGGTGACCATCCCCATGCCCGCCTCCCCCGCCACTCCGCTGCTAGCACCCAGCCGCACACCTGGCCGTCAGGCTGGATGCCGTGCTCCAGGCAGTACAGCTCCCAGCAGGCATTGCCGACCTGCGTCCAGGTGTGGAAGGGCGATGAATTTTGGGCAGATGTCGGGCGGCGGGAGTCAGATCATGATGGGCAGCGGCGGCAGATCGAGCGCGTGGAGCATGTTGGGGCATGGTCACGCACCTGGATGCCGGCCTGGCCGATGTGGATGGAGATGACCTCGCGCATAGTTGCTGTCCTTCGGTCTTGCTTGTTTGCGGGGGGGCACGCTTTGCGGTCTCTGAATGCGCTGAAAGAACACAGGGACGCTGGCTGTGATGAGCCAGGGACCTGTGATGATTGTCTGGGCAAAATTAATGGCCGCTTGTGTCAGATTTCCGGGCTTTTCAGCAAATTTGAAAGGACCGCCGAGCTGCCCGCGCCCACCGGTGCATGATCGGGCTACCCGGGGTGGTGACAATACTCTGACTACCATCCGCAACTCATTCTAGGCCGGGCGGGGCCTGGGGACACCGCCGGGCACTGAGGAGGGGGCGGACAGCTGACGGCTCAAATTTAGAATTGGAAGCTTGCCCTGCCTAGCACGGCTGCTCAACTTGGTCCGATAAACATGCAAATCATTTCTGTCTGAGCTGCGTGGGCCGGGCCCTCCGGGACGCTTGGCTGGATCCGCAGTGCAGGGTGGCGCTGCAAGCGGCTTCGCGCAGCGGTCTTGCGCAGCTGCTGTAGGCGCCGACCGCACCGTCCAGGTGGAGGACCCTGATGCAATTGGATACGCATGAAAATACGTAAAAAATCAAGTGTCGTGTGCATGCATGGCACCGGCAGTAAGGATCTGCGGCAGTTGCATCATCAAGTGCAGGGCAGCAGGTTTGCATGGCAAGCATGCGCCTCCAGTTTACCGGCTGCTTTCCACCGTGCACGTGTTGTTCGGCCGGCGTTGCAGCAACGCTGTTCAGCCTGGCGCCCAGGCCTTGTAAACTGAGGTGACCAGCATCCAGCATGCACCACCGGTTCATCGCGACTGCAGGTGATGCTGCTCGACGCGGCCGGCTGCGCCAAGTGCGTACAGTATGTGCGTGGTTTGAAGCACCTCAACCACCTGCATGATGACTCCAGCAGGATTCAAACCTGCTAGCAATAGGCCATCATCAACATCCAAAGTCCAGGATCTCATATCAACAGTCTCACAATGCACATGTCCCTCGAGCGCTGGACGTGGGCACTGTCACCCCCTCAGTCACTTGAGTGTGCCGAAGCTCACCACGGGGTCCTCGCTCTGGTACGCATGCATCATGCTGACGAGCCGGCGATCTCAGCTACAAGTATCCAGAATGCCATTTCAGCCTTGACTCGCAGCTTCAGCACACACACACACACACTCACACAGCTGCACACCTGCGTGTTGAGTGCGGGTGGTGCAGGCAACCGTCATCGAGGTTGCAACTGCCGTGTCTTTGTGCACCTGCTAGGATCCGGATGCCCGGGCTGGCCGGTACGCAAACAGAGAGGCTTATCGTGGCCTTTGTTGCACCTGTAGCTGGGGTAAGATGCTGGTCGATGAAGCCGTTCGTGGGCAGCTGCACGTGCAGCTCGCGCTTCAGTTGTCACGGGACAGTACTAGTCTGACTGAGGGGTTAGTCTTCAACCCTTCAACGACTAAGCCCCTGACCCCTTCACAGGCCCAGTCACCCAGGGGCGCCTACTGGGCAGCTGCTCTACTGGCAGTGACTCCCAGCTAGGTGTCGACAGATAAGGCCCAGTCCTAGCAGCCTGGGAGACTAACCCCTCAGTCTGAGTACAGTACCTGTCCTGTGACATCAGTCCTGCAGCCCAGGGGGCTGCAGGCTGGCTACCGTAGTTTGGCTGCTTGGCCACAACTTGGCAATCCCGAATAACAATTTCCCTTATTTCAATCATGGCGAATGGGCCTTTCAGAAATATCCGCCTCAATAAGCCTCAGTTGATCAGTAGCTCGCCAGGGGAGCACGTGATCTGCACCCATATTTCTCATTGCTTCGTATGATATCAGTGGCACGTTAATAACCCAGCTGAAATAAATCCCTCGGTTATATCTCTGGGCGTCGAAACCCAGCGCGGCTCGCACAGCAAAGCGCAGCGCGCTGCTCGCCGGCAGCTGGTGAAACACAGGGGCCATGCTGGCCTTCAGGGGCGCCGTGGTGCAGATGCCCTCGATGGGAGAGGTCAACATACTCCCTGACGCCGCCATTATTGTCGACGCCAGCGGCGCCATCGCCGCGATTGGCGATGGATCAGACATCGAAGCCCTGTGCGCCACGCACGGCGTCCCCGCAAGCGCCGTGCGCGTGCTGGGGCCGCAGCAGATGCTCCTGCCCGGGTTCGTAGACACCCACATCCACGCGCCGCAGCTGCCATTCACAGGCACTGGGACCGACCTACCGCTGTTCGAGTGAGCCACCACATTCAATGAGCCGTCTCTCGCTGTGGCCTCGCGTTTGGCTCCTCCAAAGCATCCCCCGCTTCACCACCTGCGCATACCTCAGCGCCCGTTTGCCCACGCACGTCCGCTGCACCCGCCGCGGCCACATCACACAGCTGGCTCAACACCTACACGTTCCCAACCGAGGCCGCTCTGCGCGACGCCGCGCGCGCGCGCGACGTGTATTCGCGGCTGGTGGCTCGCACGTTGTCGTTAGGCACCACTACGGCCGCCTACTTCACCACCCTGCATATGGAGCCCTGCAAGGTGGGAGACACACGATTTTATGCCTGCAGACCTGCGCATGCGCGCGCGCGCACGTGTGTGTGTTGGTGTGTGTGCGTGTGGCGGTGTGTGCGTGCACTTGCACGTGCGCATGTACACGTGCGCATACTTGTCTTGTGCGTGTGTGCATACAAGCACGACTGCATGCGCGTGTGCACGCACGCTCTGCTCAGTGCCGTCAGTCAGTGTGGTGGGCCTGAACATGTGTACTTGCAGGCGCCCGCAGGGCGCTGCTCACGGCCCGCCGCCCAGCAGCCCCAACCCCCTCACATGCATGCACCCCGCCATGTGCGTAATCGCCACGGCAAACCCCGAGGTGCTGGCCGACATTGTGGAATCGGTGGGCCAGAGGGCCGTCATAGGCAAGGTCAGCATGGACGTCAACTGCCCTGATTACTACTCTGAAACACTGGACGAGGGGCTGGCCGGCGCCAGGGAGGCGAGTGACGTCACCGGTCGCCCACGCATATGACCCGCGTCGCCCTTCGTTTGCGTGTGGTTTGCCGTCGTTATACAGAAAGACTGTCCCGCACTCGCGCGCGCGTGGTCTCTCAATGTGCACGTGCTGAGCCAGGGGTGTGCGCGTGCTGGCCGCGGCCGGGGCTGCAGGCTAATTTGCTTGCCTCCTCAACAACGCGCACTTGCGGCAGACTGCGCCACAATCGCCTGAAACGGGGTGTTTCCCGCTTACCCCCCGCCCCTCGTGCGCCCCAGCAGGTCGTCGATTACGTGATTTCGAAGCGCTGTCCGAGGCTGACGCCCGCGGTGATCCCGAGGTTCCCGCCCACCTGCTCCCCCGCCATGCTGGCCGGCCTCGGGCGGCTGGCGGCGGAGACGGGGGCGCACGTCCACAGCCACATCAGCGAGAGCCGCGATGAGGTGCGCGCGACGGCGGCGCTGCACCTTGGACGCGCCGGCAGCGGTGGCGACGGCACGGCCGCGGGCGGCGGGGGCCCTGGGGCCGAGCCGGAGCAGGGACGGGCCGGCAACGACTGCGGCAGCGACGGTCGCGGCGCCCCCGGCGGGTGCGGCGGGGACCTTGAGGCAGGGGAGGGCGGCGGCGCCGCGGCGGCAGAGGAGGAGTTCGACGGCAGCAGCGATGTGGAGGTGTTCAGGGCCGCCGGCCTGCTGACCCCGGGCAGCGTCTTCGCGCACGGCACGCAGCTGGGCCCCGCCGGGCTGGCCGCCATGGCGGCCGCGGGCGCGGCGATATCGCACTGCCCGCTGTCGAACTTTTACTTTGGGGATGGGCTGCTCGATGTGGCGCGGGCGCTGAGGGCGGGGGTCACAGTGGGGCTCGGCTCCGACATCGCGGGCGGGTACAGGTGGGTCCATGGGCATGCGGGTTTGGCACGGCGGGGAGGGGAGGCAGGGTGGCTGAGGGGTGCGTGGTCGGCTGATATATTGAGCTGTCGAGGTGGGCTGGCTGGGCGTCTGCTGTGGGAGGAGGGGGAGCGGCGGGAGGGCGCGCGCGTGTGGGGACCCCTGCATGGCGTCCCAGCTGCAGCCGCGGGGGAGCCGCAGAGCGTGACTCTGAGTTGAGGTTGTGCCGGGTGCCAGTTTCGCAGCCGGCTGTCGAGCAGGACGCGATGCATGCATGTTGACGCCGCTTCCCAACAACATTACATAACTTTGTACACACACACGCACGCACACACACACACACACGCGCGCGCGCGCGCGCGCATCCCTCCCCGCAACTCTGGCAGCTACTCGATGCTGGTAGCTGCCCGCATGGCCGTCGCCAACAGCCACGCCCTCAAGGCCGCCTCGCTCTCCGCCGGCGGCGCCGCCCGCTCAGTGGCCGCAGCCGCCGCCGACCACGTCTTAGACTGGAAACACGCACTCTGGCTCGCCACAGAGGGCGGCGCGCGCGCGCTCGGCCTCGGCGGGCCGCGGGGGCCGGCCGGCGCGCTCGAGCCGGGGCACGCGTTCGACGCGTTGCTGATCGACGCGGGGTGCGGGGCTGCGTTTGATGCATTCGAGGGGGACGAGCTGATGCAGCTTCTCGAGAAGTTCGTGCACCTGGGGGACGACAGGCACATAAGAGAGGTGTTTGTCCAAGGCGCGCGCGCGTGGCCCCCGCGAGCGCCTGCCGGCAGCTGAGGGGACACGCGCGCCGTGGGCTGAGGGGCCGGCCCGCGGTCCGGGCCTTCGCGTCGCGACCGGCCGCGCCTCGCGCGCCGCGGCGGGTGTGCCGGCGTTGGGCACGGGGAGCGCTCCCGGCTGTCGATGCGCATGCGGCCCAGGGCCCGCAAGTTGTGCCGTCGTGCATTCAGTGTCGAGATCCGGCGGCGGCCTGAATCCATCGCATTTATGCTTAAGGCAGGTCCACCGCAGGGCGTGCATGCATGATGTGCGACGTGCTGCGCTGAGATGCGCGGCTGACCCTGTGGCACAAGGCTTGCCTTGCTCGCTGCGGCTGGTCCACGCTGCCCCACTTACGTCTTGTCATTCTCTGCCTAATCTGTCTGCTTCATGCTGTTGGTGGCAATGATGTCAATAAGGACAAAACTTGGGCTTGTTGCCATGCGTGGGGCAACGTCGTTGAACGCGGCCACAGGGCGGTGTCGCGGCCCAAGCAAAGATGGTGAGATCTCAGCGGGAGATCCGCCGTGATTACTCACCGGCTCAATCTGCCTGCCGAACGCCCCGCCCAGCCCTGGGCAGCAGCCTCGCATGCAAGGATGTGCATGCATATGCGTGGGTCCCCCCTTGGCCTGCCAGAATGAGAACGCTGCGAAACGTGCGGCTAGCGAGCTGACGTGCAGCTTGTAAGCCCGCGTCGCCGCGTGGCCGCCCAGTAACACACCCATTGTGACCCCCAAATTTTTAGGCGGCTTGCTAGAGTCGTCTTCGCGCGTTGGAGGCCATGGATTTGGGGCAAGGGGTCTGAGTGTTTGTGTGAGGCACTGTTGCAAAACCCAAGGCGCGTCGCGGGGCAGTCGGCACTGGGCCAAGCAAGGACTGGGGAAGCTCTGCCAGCCCTCAGGGAAGCAGAGATGAACGTTTGGGCACCGCTGCCCTGGAAGTCGCAGGGCCGCAGCTGCTGCACCCACGGCAATGCTAGAAGTCTTGAACAATCGGGAGGGATGGGGGCGAGCACGTGGGTGGGGAGGAACCGGCCTCGTGTGCGCGTTGCTGTCCGCGGGCTTCCACGATTGAATGTCCCGCGGCTGCGCCGCCGAGCGGTGCACGCTGGTCTCAATGCGCAAGGTTCGACTTCAATCTCATTCAGGTGATTGATACACTCAGTACAGAGATGATCGGGGAGCCGATGACGGCGGGTGGTTGGCTGCGCGCGCCGGCGCCGCCTGTTGTACAGTATTTCTCAGTCAGATGCGTCATGATCGCGGCGGGCGCACGCGCGGAGGCGGTTGGCGGCGAACGCAGCCGTTGCCGCGCCCCTGGTTGGCTAGTACATTGTGCGCTCTGAAATTCTGCCCTGGGGGCGGGGACGCGGGCCCTGGACGGTCGCGCGCCGCGCGCGAGCGTTGCGAAGATGCGGCCAGTTGAGTAACTGGCCGCGGGTGACCAGCCCAACAACGAGCTGCTGCACTGAGTACGGGCTCCGACAGCTCCAAATGTATAGAAGAATTACCGAGTGTTTGAAGCGTCGTGTCCTCGTGAGCCGTGCGGAGCCCAATCCCAACATCTTGTCGGATCCCATGACCGCGTGACGCCTTGGGTCAAGTAGACTGCGGATGCTACAATGGGCGCGTGCTATAGCGCGAGCTTGCCGAGCCCCACAGAGGAGTGCCGGCCGGGGACGGGGCCCGACCACGGGGCGACAGGCGCTTCGCGTCCCTTGCGGCAAGAGCTGAATGGCTCCGGAGCCGCCGCCGCCGCGGCCGCCGGCCCCGCAGCACCCAGGGAGCACGAGGAGCAGGCGGATGCAGGAGTCACTATGCCGCCCCACGCCGTGCAGGCGAGCGGCGGCCGCTGTCCGGCGCGCCCCAGCGTGAAGTTGCGATGCGAGTCGCGAGGGCGGGGGCCCCTCACGCAGAGGCCCCTGGCTGTCCGGGGTTTCAGAAACTCGCTTCTGCATGCGGCCGAGCACCCTAGCTTTATGGCAACCGGCGGTCGGGTCACTGCCCCCACACATGCACCCAACCGCCGAGCGTCGCACTGCAAGCGTGTCGCCGCACGCTGGTTGTTCCCTAGGGCCGTCACCCAACGGCGCTCCCCTTTCCTCGCCCACAGCACAAGTGCCGACCCTGGGCCTGCAGCCCCGGCAACTGCCACATTTAGCGCACCTCGAACATTCAAACCCCCCTCCTGGCCCCATCTCCCCGACACGACGCCCCAAACCAAAAGCAGAGGCTCCAGGATTTGATGCTGCAACTGCACCTCGTGGGAAGCTGCACGCCCGCACTCGCCCTCGCTGAGCTGGCGGAGCTGATCGTGGGGCAGCTGCCAGAGGTCGATCTCTGCAGGTGAGGCTCGAGTCTTACGCTCTGGCTCGCACAGCTGGGGCACTCGCAGCGGCCGCCAGGCCAGACGTGGCCGCGAAAACTCACATGCCCTTGCTTGCGTTGGCAGCGGAGAGAGAATATTTCAGGGGTTGACGCGGCGGCACACGGGCGCCGCCAAGAGGTGGTTTGGGGCGCAGCCCCCCAACGGGACATGCAGCGGCAACGACGCGTTGTGCGGAGCTGCAGGGCAGGCGGCCGCCAGCTGCGGTTGTTACCCACCTCAAGAAAGGCTTCCGGGCGTGGGACATCACGATCGACTCTGACCGCCCAAGCGCGCGCGCCCGCCCCCTCGCCGCCGCGCAGCATCTCCGCCGCCGTCCGGACGCCCGGCGGGGGGCCCCGCGGCGCCGCCTCGGCGGTGCTGCTGGCGGCGAGCGGCGTCGGCGAGGGCGTGTGCAGGGCGTTTCCCGTGGTGGCGCGCGGGGCGGACTGGAGCGCGCTGCGGGTTTTTGCAGAGGGCTGCGCCCTGCGCTTCGACGCGGAGCCAACCACCACGGTGCGCCAGGCAGGCGCCCCACGCAGGCGCGCCAGGCAGGCGCGCCGTTGAGGCGCGCGCCCCAGCGGCCAGCTGCCCCGTCCACGCCCGCGGCGCGCCAGCAGCCTGGGTTTGTCACCTCCGGGCATCCCCTGCGCCTGCCTCTGCGCACTCAAATCCAGCAGGGCAGAACAGGGTCTCTTGTGCTACCCTGCTGGGCCGCTTCGCGTGGCACAGCAGCTCATCCTTTTCGCATGTACCCGTCCACCCCACCACGTGCGTGCATGCTGCCCTAACCCCCGCTTTTTGCAGGGGGACGCGGCGCCACAACTGCCGCACGACCTGGCGACCCTGCGGCGGCGGGCAGGGCTCCGCAGCTTCCTCCTGGTTCCCATCACGGCCGGCCCGCGGCTGCTGGGGTGCCTGACCGTGGCGTCGCTCGAGCCCGGCGCGTTTGGCGCGGGATGGTGGCTGCCGGTGCTCGGGTTGGCCGCGACGGCGCTGCTTACGCACGTGTGCAACCCCCAGGTGCGTGGGGGTTTCGGGCGCGCGTGCGTGCGCGTGGCAAGACGGATGGCATGGGCACTCAAGGGGACCGAGTGGCACCCACCTCGGATCGCCCGACTGCAACCGCGGGGCTACCCTTATTGCCGCTTGCGCGGCTGCTGCGGCCCCTGGCCGCCCCGCTCTAGCATAGGGATACGGTAGTAGCTCGTGCAATTGGCAGCCACTGGCAGGTCCCCGCCCCGCACTTGTGCGAAACCAACCCGCGTCTGATGCACACACCCCCCCCCCGGGCCCCTCTGACGCACCTCGCATCCGCCCCTGCCCCCTGGGATGCCCGCTCTGCTTCGCCCCCCAGTTTGCCAGGCTCTGCCGAGTCATGGCAGCGGTTGAAGAGGAGCCAGACACAACCGCAGCCGCGGGGCTCGCCATGCAGGCGCGCGGCGCGGCGCGACGCAGCGTTGCATGGCGCTCACACGCGCGCGTGAATTTCAAAAGCGCGCGACTCATCCCACCTCTTAGGCCGCGACGCGCGCCTGTCTGCGACGACGTCGCCGCGCACGCGCCCCGCTGTAGCATCACGGCAGGGAGCGTGCCCGCGCCGCTTGGTGCGCGGGCGGCCACGTTCACTGCTTTGTATACCTCCATCGCTCATACTCTGAATCTTACTAATCGGACGGCACCACCCCCATGCTACTCATCGCGATGACTCGTCCGCAGGGCCTGTCCGACTACCTGCAGGCCGCCACCAACGTGCGCATGGCGGTGCGGCTGGGCCTGCTGGATGGAGACTCCCTCGTCATCGTGGAAAAGGATGACACCCACCCCCACCCCGCCACCTATGAGCCCCCAGCCGCCTTATCTGCCGGCACCCACGGCGGCGGCGACGGCGACGGCGACGGCGGCGGCGGCGCGGCCGCGCAGCCACGGCGCGCGCCGCTGGCGGCGACGGCGCTGCCGCTGGCCGGGACGCTGCTGAGCTTTGCCCTCAAGTCTGGCAAGGCGCGGTTCGTGTCTGACACCACGCAGTACTTCCAGCAGGTGCGCTGCGGGGTTTCCGGTGTGACAGAAGTCGCGCACACAAAATGGTACCGCGCAACACAGAGATACAGCGCAAGAAACAAACCGCACACGTGCACACAACACACACGTGCCACGCAATACGCAACACGCATATGTCACAATCCTAATTCTGACCCTGACCCCGCGCCCCCAACGGACCGACGGCGCGCGCCGCGCCGTCCCGCCGGAGCCGCAGGTCCCCAAGCCGGCGCCCGACGTCTTCACGCCGGCCTGCCACGCCGTCGCCTCGATCGTGGTCATCCCGCTCTGCGAGCCCCTCGCCCCCGCCGACTGCGAGCCCCTGGGCGGAATCTACTTCGCGCTTTCTTCCCCTGACGACTT